TCTATAACACAAATGCAATATTTTAATCTAAAGAAAATAACTATCTTTATTGAAAAGTAAAGTGCATTACATGGAAAGTAAAGAACTAAATTGGGTGGCACTATGGACACACCTCCAACCACAACCTCAACCGTACCACATCCTCTCTCTCAATTGCTACAGTGCACCGGGTCTCACATTAGATTTTTAATCATCTCATAATAATTAATAATTAATTAGTAATGGTATCCATTTTTTACTTTCGTTATCATTTAAATTTGGGTGGCACTATGGACACACCTCCAACCACAACCTCAACCGTACACATCCTCTCTCTCAATTGCTACAGTGCACCGGGTCCCACATTAGATTTTAAAAATTTAAAATCCCAAGTGAGACCCGGTGCACTGCAGCAAATGAGAGAGGAAGTGTGGTTAAGATTGTGGTTGGGGGTATGCCCGTATCATTTTCCTTTAAATTTCTCCATGGAGCTTTTTTTAATATGGCTTAGTGGCTTACATTGAACTGTCAGCTCTGAACTGACATCGGTCAATGATACAAAGTTGAAGAAACCCAAAATCCAAGCTCGTTAAAAAATTCAAACCGACATGGCCGGTGGGTCCTATGTCCAACTGAGATCCATCAGTGTACGACCTCAATCTTGAAAGCTCAAGTTTCTGTCAATTGGGACAATTGATGTTGCATAGGTCCAATTTTGTGCGTCTTTTTTGTAGTGCAATCCTATTCCCATCAGAATTCTTGTTGCAGATTATTAAAAAACTTTGTATGGTGAAAGCTTTATATCTATGCTTTTTTGCCAGGTCATGTAACTGACAGGATGCGGAAAAAGAGAGAAAATCAAGATCCTAATACGAGTTAAGAAAGAACTCTAACGAGGGAGGTCCGAAAGAATTGAGAAATTGTAATCTTCTGCAAGTAATAAATATCTTCTTCAAGTAATTATAGTAATGAATTTTATATATCTATTAAAAACTTTTTAGTTATAACCAGTGATGTGTATAATTTAATAATGTGCTAAAGGTACCTCACACCCTTCAGGTTGTAATACACCCTTCAGGTTATAGTACAACAATGACAAATGACAAAAATAACAATGTCATGTAGATGGTAAACTCAAAGGGGTTAAATCCGTGATTGAATAATTGATCGACAAATTTTCTATTTTTTAATCATATATTAATTGCATGTTTATTTTTTTTCAGATTACAAGCTATGAGAGTTTAATAATAAAGAATGTGAAAGATAATTTATGCAAATTAGAAGTTCCTCCATTTAGCGTTTTTCACATTTTTGTTGGTTATACAAGACTTATTACTTGAGAGGTCGATTGTTATTGTCGATTCTTCTTTGTTGCCTCATTTGTGTTTGTAGTCAATATTAGAGCAATTCAGCATATTTTAATTATTTCAATTTTTGGGTTAAAGTATAGTTAAACCTTGAATTTTTCCTGAATAAGACACGTCTCATCGATATTCACTTTAGTTGTTAAAACTTACAGAATTAGCTACAATTTTATTATAAAATAATTACAAAAATATTTTGTAACAAAATATTCTGTTGATCAAATGAAATGAAGAAATGTTTTAATTTAATTTTGAGAACTTAGAGAAAACAATTTGACAAGAAAATAAATTCAAGTTTTGACTAAAATTAATAGGTGAAATAATACCAATAAAATTTTTACTAGTGTATTTTTGGTATAAAAAAATGAATGTAGAAAAAATTGAAATAAAAATTTGTTTTAAGCCAAAACAATAATAATAAAAGGTGAGGCAGCAAAAAAGGAGAAAAAGGGGGAAAAGAGCAGAAAGTTAAAAGAAAAACAGAGAGAGAGAGAGAGAGAGAGGGGGGGAAGGACCGGGGATAAATTAGGAAAACAAATTAGACTGGAGAAAAATAATAGTTTTGTGATGCTAATTGATTCAGTTACGGATAGAGAAGATGGCTTAGAGCAACTCCAATGGGGCTGCAAAACTCCATTTTGCAGCCCCATGGAGCTCCAATCGGACTCCAATTTTTGGAGTCCGGCTGCAAAAACCAAGCTTCGGCTGCATATTTGGAGTTTTTGCTCCAAATATGCAGCCCCCCTCCAAACCACTATCCCCCCTAAAAATTTACAATAATACCCTTCTAACTAACTAATTATTTTTAGATATTCAATTTAAAATCAACATAAGTTTATTTCTACTAATTATTTTTAAATAAAAATTTTACAGTTGGAAATGTTTTGTCGATACCTTCAAAATGAGACTAATATTGAATAATATTAATTAAAATATAAAATTTCAAGAACCAAGTAATTAAAAGTGAAAAAGTCATTATTTCATTAGTAAAAAAAATTACATAGCTTCATTTCCATATCTTTCCCACAAATGTTCAATCAATGCATTTCGAAGTGCAAAATGAACTTCTTTGTTTTTCAACCTCTTATGTCGAGCAAGAAACCGTTGGAATCGTTCAGTTTCCGTTATCTCCATATTTTCAGCATTCGGAATTGATTGTGGAGTTGAAATGACAACATCTTCTTGCTCGTCGCGTTCATCTTCAACAATCATATTGTGCATTATAATACAAGCAGTCATGATATCATGCAGAATTCGTTTATCCCAAAAACGGGCTGGCCCCTTGATGATAGCAAATCGTGATTGGAGAACACCGAATGCCCGCTCAACATCTTTTCGACATGCTTCTTGCATCATTGCAAAATATTGTTTCTTTTTATCATCGGAATTAGAAATGGTTTGAACAAGTGTTGGCCATTTCGGATATATGCCATCGGCCAAATAATAACCGACATCATAATTTTTTCCTTGAATTGTGTAATGAGCAGGAGGAGCAATACCTTGTGATAGATTGTCGAACAAATTAGACGACTGCAATACATTAATATCGTTATTGGATCCTGGTAAGCCAAAGTATGCATGCCATATCCATAGATCATATGATGCTACTGCCTCAAGAATAATGGTTGGACCTCCATGACGACCTGAGTATTGTCCTGCCCATGCTGTTGGACAATTTTTCCATTGCCAATGCATACAGTCTAGACTTCCTAACATTCCTGGAAAACCTCTTTCTTCGCCCTTTTGCAATAACCTTGCAACATCGTCGACATTGGGAGTCCTCAGATATTCATCTCCATATACTTCTACAATTGCTCTGCAAAATCTCTTTAAACATACAATTGCAGTTGACTCACCGATCCTAACATATTCGTCAGTACTATCTGCTGATGTTCCATACGCCAACATGCGAAATGCCGATGTAACTTTTTGTAAAGTTGATAGCCCAAGTTTGCCGACACCATCCATCTTCTGTACGAAGAAGTTGTCATGATCACGTACCGCCTCAACTATACGAAGGAATAAACTCCTGTGCATCCGGAACCTTCTACGGAATAGGTTTGCACCATATGTAGGGTTATCAGAAAAATAGTCATGGTAAAGTCGAGAATTACCTTCTTCCCTCCCGCGATTGATCACCAAATGACCAGGAACTGAGCCAATACGCTTTGGCCGCTCTGCCTCTTGAGAGAGATAATAAGTCATTATTTTCGTGTTAGAGGCATGTACGCGAGCTAAGAGTTCATGTTCCTTCTCCCATTGTGTCATATCTTCCTCCCAATCTTTAATGTACTGAGACCATATTTCGTCATCAGAAGAAGAAGAAGAAGAAGAAGAAGAAGATGGTAGTTGTGACGGTCCGGCTCCATAGTTCATTGATGAAGAAGTTATTTATAGAAATAATCATATAAGTTCTGAGTTATTTAGAGATGGATGTAATGTCATTATATAATATGACTCCCCGCATTGGATTCTTTTCATCACCAAATGACCAGGAACTGAGCCAATACGCTTTGGCCGCTCTGCCTCTTGAGAGAGATAAGTCATTATTTTACTATTAGAGGCATGTACGCGAGCTAAGAGTTCATCTTCCTTCTCCCATTGTGTCATATCTTCCTCCCAATCTTTAATGTACTGAGACCATATTTCGTCGTCAGAAGAAGAAGAAGAAGAAGAAGATGGTAGTTGTGACGGTCCGGCTCCATAGTTCATTGATGAAGAAGTTATTTATAGAAATAATCATATAAGTTCTGAGTTATTTAGAGATGGATGTAATGTCATTCGTGTTGGAGACTCCCCACATTGGATTCTTTTCAGCATTGGCTTCTCACCCCCCCATTGGATTCCTTTCGTGTTGGAGACTCCCCACATTGGATTCTTTTTAGCATTGGTTTCTCACCCCCACATTGGATTCCTCTCGTGTTGGAGACTCCCCACATCGGATTCTTTTCAGCATTGGCTTCTCACCCCCACATTGGATTCCTTTTGTGTTGGAGACTCCCCACATCGGATTCCTTTTGTGTTGGAGACTCCCCACATCGGATTCTTTTCAGCATTGGCTTCTCACCCCCCACATTGGATTCCTTTCATGTTGGAGACTCCCCACATTAGATTCTTTTCAGCATTGGTTTCTCACCCCAACATTGGATTCCTTTCGTGTTGGAGACTCCCCACATTGGATTCTTTTCAGCATTGGTTTCTCACCCCCACATTGGATTCCTCTCGTGTTGGAGACTCCCCACATTGGATTCTTTTCAGCATTGGTTTCTCACCCCCCACATTGGATTCCTTTTGTGTTGGAGACTCCCCACATTAGATTCTTTTCAGCATTGGTTTCTCACCCCCACATTGGATTCCTTTCGTGTTGGAGACTCCCCACATTGGATTCTTTTCAGCATTGGTTTCTCACCCCCATATTGGATTCCTTTCGTGTTGGAGACTCCCCACATTGGATTCTCCTGGTGTTGGAGACTCCCCACATATGATCCCTATATAATACTTGCACAATTTTCATATCTCCACCACAACTCTTCTTATTCTATATTCATAACTCTTTACATTCCTCCTTAGATTATGGCATCTAGTCGCGGAAAATCTTTTTTACAAGAAGACCAAGTTTTATGCGCCACGTGGCTCGAAATTTCTCAAGATCCAGTCATGGGTTCTAATCAAAAGAAGGACAAGTTGTGGGAACGAATTTCTGCTTTATTTCATGAAAGGATTTCCAATATTTGTAATGCTCAAAGGACTCCAAAGTCTCTTTCATGCCGAATGCAATTAATTATGAAGGCCATCAGTAAATTTCGAGGATGTATTCGACAAGTCGAGCGCTTAAATCCAAGCGGTGCTTCTGAGCTTGACATTGTAAGTATTTTGAATAACAAAAATCTTGATTATCATCTACTATCATGTTATTAATAAATGTTTCTTCCTCTCTTGTGGTAGATTAAACATGCTAGGATAATATTTGCAGAAGATCCAGAAGAGAGAAAGGGGTTTCTATTTAATCATGTTTGGTCAATTTTAAAAGATGCAGAGAAATGGGCAAATATAAGTGTCAGATCGCCTGCAACTTCCAAAACTTCAAAGTCCCGCTCATCTCAGGGATCAGATTCAGGTTCTCCTGTCGTCGACTTAAATGACGATAATGAGGAATATACTCATAATGACGAAGATATGATAACAAGTCGACCGACAAGAAGGAAGAAAGAGAAAATGAGGAGGCGACAATCAACTAAATCCAACCTCGACTTGGAAACTCTCAATAAAAGCAATCAAGAAATTGTCGATATTTTAAAAAAAAGTCATGGAGAACGAGAAAATGATAGAATAACAATGCACCAGATTATGATGTTAAGGGCCGAAAACGAAAAGAAAAAATTAGATATTCAAAGGGAACGCCAGGAAAGTAAGATTATGTTGATTAATCTTGATACTATTACTGATCCTTCGGAACGCGAGTATTTTCGAATTAAAAAACAAGAGATTTTAAATAGAAACACAACCGGAGGTTCTTCATCTGATATTCCTAATCCTGAATATAGTTATGCAGGAAGTCAATACGGAATACCTGACTACAGAAGCGGTGGATATGGAGGAAATGGCCTGCCCGATTTTTAGTTTTTTTCATGTACTTTATTTTCATGTACTTTCTTTTTCTATGTAATGCCGCTGAATGTAATATATTTTTCAAATCTATTTAAAGTATTAATAAAAGAAATCAATTAAAAATGCAAATAGAGCTTCATATAGAGGAGGTGGTTGGAGTTACCCCCTCTAAAAAAGCATATGCCCAAGAATATGCTTTGGGGAGGCTGCATTTTGCAGCCTCCCCATTGGAGTTGCTCTTACGGATTAGGTTGGAGGAAAATAATAGATTTGTAACGCTAATTGATAACTAAAATTATGGATAGAAAAGATCACACTCCCATCTCATCCGATCAAAAGAAAATCAATGATGAGAATAAAAATAGCGTTCTCTTCATAAACCCTATCTAATTTTCAGAAAAACCGTGAAAAGCTCTCTACCTATTTAAACTGGTCTCTTCATAAACCCTACCCCTACCCCTAATGGCTAAAAAGCAGCCATCATCTCCTCTAGCTCTAGGGCCGCCTTCTTCCTCATCTTAGAAAGAAGAATCACAATCCTGACCTCAAGCCCTATCATGCTGCCGGTGGCAAGGCCTAGTTCCAGCGGATTTGGAGCCTTGAAGACAGATTGCTATCCTCAAAGTCATCACCAGGATCGAGCGAGCTTCGAGGAGTGATCCCATCTTCGAGGCTTAGTGATGCCTTTGAGGATAACAATCTGTCTTCGAGACTCCAGATCCCTCCCTCCAGTAACTTACCGACTTGGAGCTTTGAGGATTAACAGGACCAAGTAAACAAGATTGTTGTCCCTCAAGGCTAATTATTCCCTCCCTCCCTCTCTCTGACACTGAGTTTGGATAGAGTTTTTTTAGGAGGGGAGGGAGGGGGTGTTTACGATGCTAACTTCCCTCTCTCTGACACTGAGGCGCGTTTGTTTGGGACTCCGGCTTGGTGAAAGCCTGACAAAAACAGTGAAAAGCTACTGTTTTTGTCAGGCTTTTAGCCAAAAACGTCTCTTAAAGAGGCGTTTTTGGCTGAAAGCCAGTGTTTTTGTTAGGCTTTCATCAACCTCTTGAGCAAACCAAACGGGGCCTGAGTTTGGATAGAGTTTTTTTAGGAGGGGAGGGAGGGGATGTTTACCATGCTAACCTTCCTAACATTACGTTTGTTTATACTTTTAGTTAGCAATAGGAGGGGAAGGGAGGGATAAAAATTAGAAAATTTAGTCATTTTCTCAACCCTCCAAAAGTGGACGGATTGAGAGGAGAGGGGTTTCAAGTCAAGTTTTCTTGAAGTTCCAATATTACCCTATACTAGAAAACTAAAAGGTGTTCCTTTTTATTTGCTTCCCTAATAAAAAAACCTACGCAGAAAAAAAAGAGAAGAGCAATTGCTCTAAAAAAACTTGCCAATCGATTCTCTCGTGGAGGAGAGCAGTTGCTCTGAAAAAACTTGCCAATCGATTCTCTCGTGGATCATCCGCTGATCCAATCATGTAAGCCTTTCTATTTTTTGATTTCTCCACGCATCTAGTTTTGCAGATCAAAATCAAGAAAGTGCCTTTTGTTTGCTTCTTTGATTTTTTTTTTGTGTGTGCTTCGTTAATTTCATTATGCATCTACATATGTTATTTGATCCATTTGTGTATGTAGTAGAATACTTTGTTGATCAAATCACGCGAGTTTCGTATGCTTCTTTGACTTCAACTTAGCATCTAGAAATTATTAAACTTGTTTACACTAGTTACCTGCAATCATGTGTGTAAGTGGTAAAGTTATACAACAATTTATTATTGTGTAATTGAAAGAATTATAATTTAACCAATCTAACAGAACACTCTACCTTTAATAATTTATTGGATTTGTAGCTCAATATTACTTGGATGCATGGATGAGAATAATAAGAGCTAAGGGGTTTTTTCATAACTATTAATTCATCATCTCAGTGTCATATAGCAGACTTGGTTTCTTGTTTGACGATTTGCTTGTTGGAGGGCAGAGGGTTGGCAGTTTAACTCTATTTTATGTTTGTTACAGAGTACAGATATACATAACAGGGTTTCCTTGCCTAACCAAACTCTAAAAAATTATATTTTATGTTATTAAAAGGGCATACTGGTCAAGTAGCTCCCCTTCCCTTCCCAACCCATACTCTAAACAAACACATACTATAGTGTATCCTCTCATCCCTTGTTGTCTACCCAAACACAGATGAATACATTCCACCCTTTTCCTTTCCGCTTCTTCCCCTTGAGTTTAAGTCAATCACTCCCCTCCCCTCCCCTCCTTTGTATCCAAACCAACCGTAAATGGATTCCAACTGCCATTTAAAAGAAATATATAGTTGCTAACCTATAACAACTAAGGAGCACAAGATAATACGATACTTTATTCTACATATATATTTATATTAACATTACTTTGGTTCTAATGATTTGAACATGCACATGCAAAAGCACAAATCTCCTTATAGTATATGTCAAAACAAACCTGAGAACTACGATCCTCAGAGATACAAAGGATTTCCTTCTGGCTTGAACAAAAGCGAGCAACAACCGATATGTCTCTACTGCATCCATAGGCAATGATTGAGCAACTTTTAGTTTTTGCTTTTATTCTAAGCAGCTCTCCTTGCTCCCACTTTGCAGTCTCATCTAAAGCAGCATCAGTGACGACTTCAGCCTCTGAATACCGTTGTTGAGCTGACAAAACTAAAGCAAGAAGTCTCCAACCTTTAGAAACTGATCCACCAGTTAAATCAATGAACTCTTTGATCACAATGCGGCATTCGTATCGCGATGTTCAGCATATTCAAGAACAAGGTCAAAACTTAGATCTGGATTAATGTGTGGATCAAGATTTATTGCCTCGTCTAAATGTCTAATGACTTCAAAGCTTCCGCTTGGAGGCAAGACCTTTCCTGGTCCGAGGAAGCAATTTTACCTTGTTTCCCCAAGCAAATACCTAAAATAAGGAAAGCAACACTCTTTAGGTGCTCATCATCTGCTTGACAATTTAACATAGCTCTCCTGGCATAATTGACCCCTTCAGAAGCAAGAAAGCAATCCTCACTGCAGATCTTAGCGGAATATCATCTGTTTTTTCGAGTTTGCTCAAAGATTTCCTTAACAGATTTAAGGCATTCGTGTTCTGTGCAGCTGCACGATAACAAAGAGCCATATTGTTCCATCTATCACATCGATGAAAAGTTCCAGGCAAGAGCTCTTCAAAGTGCCTTGCCAATATAGAAGTCTGGCCACATAGAGACAATGCAAACGTCAAATGCTCAATCACTGAAGGATCCCATTCGATCTTACCAAGGTGCCTTTTTTTTAATAAAATCACGAGCAGTAAAATAGCCTCTTCTAAAGTTGTCTTTGGAACAAATGCACCATCAGTTTGTGCAGCCAGACTTGGGGAACCAGCTTCAACGCCACCATGTAATAAAAGTATTTGTAAATTTTGCTATACAAGTGTGCATAGGTCAACCCGGGACTTTGCATACAAGTCCATAAGTTTATTATGGTTAATAATGCATGAATTAAGAGTTGAATCTAAAGAGGTAATACGATTTTTAACATCATTCAACTCATCATTAGGCACATATGCATTAACATTAGAAGTAGAAAAATAGTCATTTATGAAAGAAGCAGTATCATTTTGTATGTTCTCTACTTCTAACATGACATTATTTTTAACTTGAGATAAACTAGTGATGGATGAGGTTAATTTTTCATTTTCCAAATTTAACATATCATTGTTTTCTTTAATCACAATATTTTCTTTTGCAATGACATCAAATTTGGAACCTAGCAACTCATGATCGGATTTCAAATTAACATGCTTGCTTTTCAAATCTATAAAATTATTATGCAACTTAGTGTAGGCATGCATTAATCTATCATATGCACAAACGAGTTCATTGATGGATATATTACTATCGGATTCCGAATCGCTTACCACACTATGGTTATCCCCTAGTGGACGTGTGCATGATGCTCCACTATTACTTGAAGTTGATTCCGCCACAATGCGTCGAATCTCCTCCAAATCTCCTTGATGTGCTTCAAAAAGTTTCCAAATCGTGTAAGCACTATCAAAATGAGCAAGTTCGTTAGAAATGCATGGTTCAAAAGCATTATGCAAGAGTTCTAACATTAACTTGTTCATTATAAATATTTTCTTATCATGATTGCCCCACTTGGATTTCTCCAATGTGAGCATAATATAAACACAATCAATAACTTCGCATAAGTCAATATTTCTAGATTCAATAAATATTTTAAATTTAGAGCACCATTGAGCATAAGGGAAATTTCTATATTTTGGAGCAATATTTGGATTATAGCCTAAACGAAATACATTCATATTCATGATATATATGTGAATATATGCAAGCAAGACTACAATATGTTACAAACAAGAATAAGCAATATGAACAAAGGTAAATATCCTAGCAATGAGATATACTATAGGATATATGCAAGGATATCACTACAACAAAAAAGCTAATCCGCGAGGAACAAGTTTGTCGTTGAAAGTCGAGATTTCATCGTCGTAGTGTGTTGGCGAGGAAAAAACTTTGGTCACCATTTCCTCGCGGTAGGGTGGTCAAGAAAAGTTTCTGCGAGGAATATTATAATTTCTCGCGAAACCCTTTTTGCGATGAATATATTCTTTTCTCGTTGTTACTCTTTAGCCTCGATATTTTTCCTCACCTAACATCATACCTTTTTCATCGCTAAACTAAACTACAGTTTCCTCGCCAATGATACATGAATAATATTTAATTTATATATAATAAAAGTTCTAAAAAAAACTATTTTCGTTGTTGTAAGTATCTTTCAGCGAGAAAATTGTTCCTCACCAAAGATAAATCTTTAACGAGGAAATTGATTTTATTCATTATATGTATCTTTTTCTTGTGGAAACAGTTCCTCAATAAAGGGACTCAAAGACGAGGAAATTTAAATTTGTCGTTGTAGATTGTACCCCATATTCCTCGCCAAAAAAATTCAATTACGAGGAAATTTACATTTGTCAATATAGGTTATATGGTCTATATCGAGGAAAATTACAACAGAAGCGACAACAAAGAAACATTTCTCCAAGTTTAAGTATTTGTCATCAATTGTCACCACAATACATCAAACCAATTAAAATAAATAAAGCAAGCAATTTTCTACTATAAGTAACAATGCTAGTCTAAAGCAATAACAAATGCAACACGATCAAAGGAACATTTCTC